TTGCCCTCGTCGACTTCCTTTTCACCCCCTTCGTTGTCCCCCCTACATCCTCTCCTCCTCACCTTACTCCTCTTCGCCCTCCTCCTCACCTCCCCCTCTCCGCCCTCCTCCTCGTCCTCGCCTTCGCCTTCATGATGGGCATCGCAGTATTCCCGTCCTCAACTTCTCTTGACCTTTACCCTAGTCCTTCTCAGTCTTTATCCATCTTGTCTTGCTCCTCCTTCTCATCTTGATTGGTTTCTTCTTCCTCCTCCTCCCGGCGTCTCTTGCATCGTCCTCTACTTCCTCCTTCCGGCGACTCTTTCCGTCTTTCTCCACTTTTCTCTTTTTCATCTTTCTCTCCGTCTTTTTTCTATGCTCCCCCCTTCCAACCTACACTTGTTCCTCTCCCTGCAGGTTCCTCAGCTCGTCCTCACTCCAGCCCCCCATACATTGAGCAATCATTCTTGCGTTACATACTGTCACATACTTACATCCTATCATGGTGATAAGATCTTCAGAACACCTATCTCTCATTTCTGCCTCTAGTCGACTCCATTTTCGACTCATTTTACAGTTCTTTCCCAGAAGTGAATAGAAGATGTTTGATCACAGTGATAAGATCGATTTATCAAGTTTTGAACATTGTATTGTGGCCTGATCCTCATTGCAGGAGTTGAGAATGTTCAAACTGCCCGAACTGAAACTGCAGCTATAACATGTCATTTGGAAGTCTGCTGCCTTAATGGGATATCGATCAGACTTGCAGCAGAGAAACTTTGAAGCTTTCGTAGTGGTGGTAGCATTTGGTGAAATTCAACCGATTCAGATTTGTTCATTTTTTTTCAAGTTGTCCTGATCGCATAGACAAAGGGGTTACCCGAACCCACTTCCCAACTTCACTTCCTGATTTAAAGAAAAATCTTTGTCAAAGAACAAACAAGAGAAATGAGTATGGCGGCAAACAGTTCGAGATTCGATTTGTTTTTCAAGTTTTTGACTTCATTAAAGTTAAATATCGTTCACTAGACTATATATCACAAAAGGCAATTGACTGTAAGCAATTACACAGGTAAACAAGTACAAAGAGCATTAATGCATGCTGCGCGTCTCCTCTTGAATTTCTTGTGACCCTCGGCTTGCCATGTCTCTCAACTCTTCGTCTTCGTCTACATCGTAGATGATGTCGCTCGTGAACTTGAGACGAGCCGGAAACTTCTCTCTGTATGATCCCCAGTCTGCTATTCTTCTCTCGATCATGTCCTGGAAGTTGGTCGGAGACTCGATGCTTCTGACCGGAGACACTGATCTCACCGGTGACACTGACCCGTCGGTCACAGTCATGGAAGGACTGGAAGCCCCGTACCGCTGTAGCTCCATGAGAACTCCTTGCTCACCTTCTCGGCCGCTCCCGTCCATCTCCTTGTCCACGTTCTCCAGCTCCCCGTCGATCTTGAGCACAATCTCACCCGACACGTTGGGGTCGATCACCTCTGCTTTCTTTCCGTCCTTGGATCGATGCAGCGCGTACCTCCCCGACAAGACCACCATGATCACTGCTCCCGGGAAGCCGATGGCCATGCCGAAGATGAGCCCGGCCTGCATGGTTGAGCTGCCGGGAGTCGACGAGGGCGCTGCTGTAGTCGAGGGCGACGAGGGGGAGGTGGGGTCGACGCTCTTCACGTTGGCTCCCTGGGGAGCGGAGCTGAGCTTGGCAACGATGTTGGGCATCGACTTGCGGAGATGAGCCACGTCGAGGACCATGTCGTCAACGCTCATGAAAACGACGGCAGTCTCCATGGTGACTGAACCTCCCGAGGTCTGAAGCAGACGTCTGCCGGTCGTGCGGCTGACGGAGATGGAGATGATGAGAGCTTGCTGTATGTTGCTGCTCTTGATGGCGAGGTTGAGGTTGTCCTGCAGGTCCTGCTTCAGCTGCGCGTCCGTGAGGCTCAGCTGCTGCGGCGTGAGGCTCATGGTGAGATCCCAGACGGTCGTGGTAGCAGTAGGCAGCCCATAGCTCTTGGCGATCTCTTGCGACACGATGGTGGGAAGAGAGATGACGACGGGTGGGACGGTGCTGGAGACTGATCCTGGCTGAGAGGCAGTGGAGAGGAGGAAGCGACGTCTTGTGTAGCCGTTCTGCTTCACGCTGAAGATAACGTTCTGAGGAGAGGGAGTCAGCACAAGCCAGGAGCTACAGCAAATCTCTTACCATGATGATCTTGGCTGGGATCCAGGTGTTTCCGTCGATCTTCTGGTTGACAGGGCTGATCCACCACGCTCTCTTGTACCTTCCATTAAGCGAATAGGTCGACTTGATCACTTGCTGGTAGCTGGTAGCCAAATTCCTTACGTACTGACTGTCCGAAAAGATTCCGGCGAGAAAAGTCTCAGCGTCTTGCGAGTTGGAGGCGTTGAGCTCCATAGCAGTCACGCGAGCTTGCTGCCACGTGTAGTTTTGCTGGACGACAGGTTCTCTCTGCTTGATGTCCCATCGGAGGTAGCAGTCGGAATTGCTGTTCTGGTCGCTCGAGCACAAATTTTGCAATGCCGTTGTCGGCGTCAAGTCCGCGTAGTTGGACAGCGAGACGTCAAAGGCTGTCTTAGCTGCGATGAGCTGCTGAACGCTATTGTAGGTGTTCGAGCCCGAGAGAAAGTGCAGAGTGATGATGTCGTCGACAACGACGTAGTCCTGCTCAGTTCCCGGGAGATTGAAGAAAGTGTCGGAGCCGTTGACAGCGAACGTCAGGAGCGCGCTCTCGGGAGCAGCTGAAGTGAAGCTGGTTGGGGTGACGAGGGTCATGTTGTCGTTGTTGACAAGGTTCTTGAGAGTGACGAGCTTGCCTTGGGTCAGATCACTCTGAGTCGATGTCGAGCCAATTATCAAGTCCTGCGCATTCATATAAGTACCAGTCATTCTAGCATGCTCAATTTGTACTCACAGCGTTTGCTATCGCGGTGATGGTGTTCTGAAAGCTTGATTGGGTGCACCACTGGTCGTATCCGTTTGTCTCCAGCATGATCTTGGCGCGGATGTTTGTTGAGGTGAGCTCTCCGCTAGCAGTGACCTGAGCAGCGACCGTGAAGTCAACGTAAACATAGTTGTTGGTGCTGATGTCCGACGAGGAGAAGAAATCGATTCCCAGAGGGATGTCGATCTCAATACCATTGCCGACAGGTTGCACGGTCGTTTTCTGGGTGCAGAGGCTGAGAGTTGGAGCGCACGTGGTGGAGAGGGTGTCGAAGACTGACTTGATGCCAGCTTGCTGGTAGATGGCAGAGCTGGAGCTGTCTTCACAGGCCTGGCTGAACGTGGCGTCGGTCTCCGTGTACCCCTTGCCGACGCGGATAGAATCAAGAGGGATAAGGACGCCGTTGGCGGAGTACTTGCTGGGAAGCACAAAGGAGACTTTGAGGTATTGAGCGTTCTCGATCGGGATGCCAGGAACAACCTCGACGTTTCCGAGATTCAGGTTCACAAAGTCCAAGAAAGTGTTCTGGATCCCGCCGTTGGTGACGAGCTGGGCGTATCCTGCGAAAGTGGTGAGAAGAGCAAGGAGAGGAGCAGCAAGCAGTACCGATGCGTTGAAGCGTCAATGCGTGTTGGGTAGCATAAGCGGACATGAGGTTGAACGTATCAGTTGAGGTGAAGGTGGCGATGCCGACGAAGGTCTTGACCGTATAATCGGTCATGTAACCCGTCACCGTTCCAGCGTACTTCCGGAGCTCGCGATCGTCGATTTCCAAGGTGATGGAGGAGGTTCCAGAGGAGACAATTTGCGAGACACTCATTCCGCTCAGCTGACCGGTGAAGTAGGAGCTCGTTGAAACATTGCTCAGGGGATTGGACACAGTGCTGCAGTTGGGGGCGATGACGACATTCTGGAGGTACGTGTCGAAGGTCAAGGCAGGACGATATTGGTCGTGGAAGGTCTGAAGGCAACAAGCATCGGCAAACCCGCCCGAGGCGCCTCCGCATGGGAAGTTGGACTGAACGTACGAGTCTTGCTCAATTTGGGTGTAGGAGTCCAAGTACTGCCCATTGGAATTAAGTTGCGAAGCCCCGTTGATTCTTGGAACATACAGCACGTTGGTCATATACCCATTGCTTGAGGAGGTTGGCAAGGCACCCAGAGTGTAGTCGACATTGATCTTCCAGCATCCAGTATCCATACATCCTGTGTCGAAACGGATGCTCGAAATCGAAAATCCGGTGTTTTGTTGGTGGAGTATGCTCCATCGGCTGTGATTGCCAGATGAGCGATGCACACTACCAGAAGAAGAAGCTTCATTGAAGTGCTGGTCAACGTCTCTGTCCCAGAAATCGTAGCAAACATGGACACACGATGCCTGTCCGAGTTGTGAGAGATTCACGAAAAAGGCTCACGAATGAGCGACAGACAGGAGAGGAGAGGTGCGATGAGACGATGCAGTGACAGCGGGAAGAGAAGCAGGCAGCGATAGAGAGAGGAGGAGAGGGAAGGGTTGATGTGACAGAAGCGGGAGGATGCGTCGAGGTTGGGGATGGGAGGCCTGCGGGAAACGCAGGGGCGGCGGGGAATAAAGAGTACACTTCCCTGTGGTAGGGTTGGGGTCAAAAGTGAGGGGTGTGGGGGTCCTAAGGTGGCCGCCTGAGGTGATTTTAAGGGCCTGGGGTGGTGGGGCAATGGGAAATCATTCTCAAACAAGAGGAAAATCTTGGGGAGAGGGCGATGGGTAGGGTGAGGGGGCCAGGAACAATCAGAGGAGGGTGGGAGGTTGTCTCGGAAATCAAAAAGGGTGGTGGGGGTAGTAGGGTCGCTGAAGCTTCAACATCGGTCGGGGATCACGGGAGATGTCGATGAGACCAGGGGTGGGGGTACAAGGGGTGGTGTGAAGATGGGGGTAGGGTTGTTTCCTGCGGGGTATTTGAGGGGTCTACGTTCCGAGGGGTGTAAATACTTGAAAAGGATTGCATCTATAGGGGGTGGAATGGTTGGGGGTTACTGTTGGTGGGTAAGGGTACTTCAAAATTTAAGGTACTATGTGATGAGCACCACATGGAGGGGTATGAAAATAGGAAAAATGGTGGGTACAAGACAGCCGTTGAAGATGAGCAACTTTTGATGTGGGGTAGGGTAGGGTATGACGGGGGTACTGATTCACGTGTGCGAGTTCTGTGCATAAAAGAAGGGGTGGTACAGCTTGTGACCGGGTGTGGCAACAAAGAGGCCAGGATATCATCAGCAGATGAGCTCACGAGAGGGTGGGTACTCCTCGTGATGGGGTTGTGTCATGGGGTTGGGTAGAGTGATTCGTAAAAAATGTCTTTTTGGCGAAGAGGGCAAAATATATACAGGTGAGAGGGGGTGGTATCAGAGGGTGAAAGATGGGTAGGGGTGGTAAGAGGTTCCGAACGGGCCTATCGAAGGCAATAAGTCAGAAAGCACCCATGTGGTGGGGGTAGGCATATCGGGAAACCACCCCTTGACTAGACCATAATATATGGGCTGCTGACTACCGGGGGTGGTCATTCGCCATAATTGTCGCTACCAGTACGCTTAGGGCCGTCTTCTCCGAATATCTTCATACAAGAGAGGTGGGGTGGCGACCTGTACGGGGTAGGAACAGGTGATTTGTGATAGCTTTTAATGAATAGGGTGGGGTTCTCCAAAAACTGAATCCAGTAGGGTAGGGGTAGAATGATATTTGTTGGGCAATTCGCGCTGCTAAGAATTTCGATGACCGGTGGTATCAATTTGATTCAAAACAAGGGGTCGGGGTACATCTCAAGGATAGCAGCAGATTGGGAGATTTTCGAGAAGGGTGGGGGTAGAAACAGGATGGGGTAGCATGAACGCAAGAAGGTTCTTTGAGGGTAGGGTGTAAGATTTCCCAAAGGATGGGTGGGGTGGTGGAAGAAGATGACACAAGATAGTACCGGGGGAGCGTGATGACAAAGGCGGGAGTGACAAAGGAGTTCAAAAGTCATCAACAACCACAGGGGGTGGGGTGGGTCCGGGTGAATGAATGGGCCAGGGGGTAGGTGGGGAGCACGGCACCATCAGCATCCGGATGCCACGCGGTCACGAGGGCGCAAGAAACTCGACAGTAGGGGGTGGCCCGGGGCGAGTGAAGCAGGGGTGGTCCGAAACTAGAGAGTACCCCTACCACACGGCATCTGCGCTGTTGAAAGCAATATTCAGCCCCGAAGGTACCAGGAAGGTGGGGGTACTTATTTCCGGCGTCAGCACTCCTACATGTATAATGGACTTCACTCCCACCCCACCCATCATTCACCTCCCACCCTCAAAAAGATGCGAGAAGCAAAGGGGTCAGAAGGGCGCCAACCCTACCCCCCCACAGCCTCTCCTTTTGACTTCGCTACTACCGGCAGTAGGCCCCGCCCGGCCTCCTCATATCGGCCAGTACCCCTCCTTTGATAGGCTTCTACCCCCACCCTTCACCCCTCAGAGGTTGAGACTCCGTCATCAAGTCCTCGCAAGAGGCCGCCCTCGCCGGGAGGACGGATGTGACGATTGACTCCAACAGTCATCAATTTTACTACAGTCCGACCATCGTAACTTCAGGGGTGTGACCGGTGGTCTCCCATTTCCCACTAGTACCCCCACAACATCGTCCTTTGACCGGGTGTATTTCCAGGGAGCCTGGGGTGGGGGTGGTTGGAGTGCAACGACAGGATAAATGGGTATAGTCCAGAAGGTTCCAGCTGCGGGCCCCAAGGACCGTCGGAACAGAAGGCTAGAGGGGGGAAGGGTCCCTGTACCCACTAAACCATTAGAGCGAGACAGCATACATCTTCCACCTTCCCCCTGCCCTCCAACGGTTGTCTACCTCGATCCCTTGGCCCATTCGGACCTTTACTCCCCAATCACGGCACCCTGTACCGACCAACTCTCTTGAGAGCTCGCCCTCTCCAGGGTTGACCTTTACCCACCCCGTCCTCTTAGTAACCTGCCCTCTACAGTCAAAACCACCCCCACCCTCACCCATCACACTCTCGTCGCTCGACTGGTACGGTCACGTTCAGACTTCTTGGCCCGTGGAGCAAAGCGGAGATCGCAGGAGATCCAGTCAAAGCCCTCTTTGAACCGCAACGGTTCGTCCGACCACCACAAAGACTACCAGAAGAGAGCTAATGGGGGCCGCGAGATCAAGAGGAGATTCTGGGGAGATACCTGATATCACTGCGGGTCAGTCCGTGCCATCAATGGGTGTGGTCTTATGTCAAGTGACATTCGTGACTACCAGTCAGACTCTGACCCCCTCTAAAAACGGACTCTACTCTGGCTTCAAATCTGTTCCCAGGCGCGCGTAGCCCATCATGTGATTCGAGTCCCGGAGTCCGTCCGGGAAGTTCCGCAGTTCCGGTGACGGTTGACGGCGGCCAGGGCCGCCGCCCGCCGCCGATCCCCGTCGGAGTGGGCCCACGAAACAGCCGGCCGCTGCGGCTTCCGGGCCGAGGGGCCCGGCGCCGGCGCTTACTTTGAACTTCAGAACCGTCACCCGGACTCGACCCGGTGGTACACGGTACCCGGTGCCCGGTGCCCCCGGGCCCCCCGGTGCCAGGACCGTCACGGTCAAGACTCTTGGAACTTGTGACTTGACCGTACGGTTGAGCCGGCGGCCCCCTGGGCGCCGGGCACGGTCTGTACCCCTCCTCCCGGCCCGGCCCGGCCGGGCCGGGCCCGGCCTGATTCAAGTTACTATCAGTTCAGTTAGTTATCAGTACTCGGCTGCCCGGCCGGGCCACCGTACCCGGCGGTCCCGGGCCGGGAGGCTGGGCACGGTCCGGCCGGAGTCACGGTGCAGGCTCCGGCGGCAGACTCATGGATCAATGAGGGGATGTGGGGTCACTTTCCGAAAGGGGAAGGAAGAACAAGATGGGGAAGGAGCGGAAGAGGGAGGAAGAGCGACAGGGAGGGCGAGGAGGAGAAGCCGAGCAGGACGAGCAAGGTAGGGAGAGAGGACAACGAAGACAAAGATCCTCACACGATCGATGCTCTCCTGCGGTTCTAACCCGTGTCCGTGTCAGGGACGAGCAGGCCCAACATGAACGAACCAGTGAGAGTGAAGGAAATGCGAGCACGGTGGATTGGAAGGTGAGGAAGAGATGAGGTTGTCTGTGATCTGAGATAAGATTGTCTGTGATCTGAGACAAGATTGTCTGTGATATGATCGAGCAACAAACAACATCAGCCATCATGACACTGATCGATTGAATTAGTTTCTTAATGGTTTCTCACAGGAACGATGAAATCCAGCAGCTTCTCAACATCTTCGGCCCAAGGAGGGCGCACGTCCCCCCAATCTTCGTGAATGGTCATGCATCGACAGGGAAATCAGGTGATACAAGAACAAACATCAGCCATGTCTCGTCTCAACACGCCTCTTCACTTCTCATCCTCACACTACTTTCTTGCTCACGTCTATCATGTTTCCTACCCCGATCATGCTGTCTCGTTGTTTGCAGCTCAGTCTTCTTCTGGCATTCCTCTTCCTTCTCACTTCCCTGCCAGCTGTCGTGCAAGACTTGCTCTTAACCCTGAAGGCGCCACATGCCTTTGTCAACTGCGTCGAAGCGACTACCCCCAGCGCGCTTTTTGAGATGGTAAGGCGTCAGGGGACGTTGAACCTGAGCTCATGCCGGGGGCAGGTCCTACAGCAGCTGTGCTGCTCGGGGAGGAGGACGAGCAGCGAAGAGGAGGAGAACAAGCTCAGGTGCTGGGAGCTGGGATGTGACGGAGGTGATGGTGGAGGAAAGATGCAACGACGTCTCCAAGTTTGTGCGCCTCTTCGTGGACAACAAGAGCCTCAGACAAAGTGAGAGTTGTGCTGGTTGTCTGCTGGCTGATCCGTGAGCAGCATGCGGGGACGAGGAAGGGAGATGGATCTTGCATGAGAGGAAGGAGCAGGAGGAGGAGGAGACCTGGTAAGGAGGGGAGGAGGGACCAGCTTCTGCTTACCCGGCGCGCAGCTTCCTCGTCTTCGATCGAGCAGAGAGGCTGAGAAATTTGGACCCGCACTTGCTCAAGACGCTCGCACGGATGAACGAGCTGACGTCGAGGTAGGAGGAGGAGGAGGAGGAGGAGGAGGAGGAGGAGGGAGGAGGAGGAGGAGGAGGAGCGAAGGTA